TAATTTTCGAAATTTTTTCAATTTTTTTTACTAAAAACTGCCGTAACTTTTTCAAAAATAAACATATCAATATAATTTTTTTTTATATAGATGCTTGATGTCTTTACCTATCATTTGGTATATTTTTTTTGTAAATCTGACACTTAACCTGCCCACAGGGGGGGATTTAAAATGACAACTTTTTCACAAAAAATTAACTTTTTCAACTTAACTTTTGAAAATGTTCCGGAAGGTCTGACACTTTTATATATATCTTAAATTAAAGCTAATGTAATATACTTTAATTTGAAAAAAAAAAATTTGACCTCTGGACTTGTCTTCGTGGTGAAAGTTGACATCAAAGTTAATAAAAAATTACGATTTTTGTAAAATAATTTTTTTTTATATTTTTAACTTAATAATGCTCTAACTTTTTCAAAAATGAACATATCAATATAATTTTTTTTTATATAGATGCTTGATGTCTTTACTTATCATTTGGTATATTTTTTTTGTAAATCTGACACTTAATCTGCCCACAGGGGGGGATTTAAAATGACAACTTTTTCACAAAAAATTAACTTTTTCAACTTAACTTTTGAAAATGTTCCGGAAGGTCTGACACTTTTATATATATCTTAAATTAAAGCTAATGTAATATACTTTAATTTGAAAAAAAAAAATTTGACCTCTGGACTTGTCTTCACGGCGAAAATGGCTACCGAATGCTATTTTCGTGTGAAAATTCTCGATTTTATTATTTATATTATATTTAACTTTATAATGCTATAACTTATTGAAAAGTTTATGGATCCACACAATTTTTTTATGAGAAATAATATTTTTTAATAAACCCTTTTTCATTTGACATACTTTATCTTAATCGAGATATTAATAAGGAACCAGCAGATCAAGTAGCTTTTGGAATAAAACACCAATTTTTTTAAAATTAAACACTATCTAAAGATTTGCATCGAAGCGTTTATTTTTGATAGTGATTTTAATCACTGTCAGATATCATTATACTTGATCCAACTATACCACGTCACGACTGTGCCGCGATCCTCCTGTGCTGGGTTTTTTAATACTTCAATACTCATGTTGTATTTTGCGCACAGATGTACAGAGTGATCTGTTTATTATAATATACTCAATTACTTAAAAAAGAAATATAATTCGCAAATATTTTTTTTGGCCATATTTAGTAACATATTTTTTTATATTATTGAGTAATTTTTGTTTTATCCTTTAACCCTTAAAAGAGCATTATAACTTTATTTTTTTAATGTCAACATAAATATTTAACTAGCCCATTAAATAAAAAATGATTTAGGTAAGCAAATTATTTGTCAATAACGACTTTTGAACCAGTACTTCAAAAGTTACTTTTTTATTCCTAGATGATTGGCGAGTGAGGCTGGAAAATATTTAGTAATAAAAATAAAACTGCACATCACTTCCTTACATTAATTTATTCTAAAATATTGGTCCAAATTGTTGTAAAAATGTAATATATTATTACGAGTTTTGTATTATTACTTTTTGAGGTATTAGCATTTGAAGATTTAAAAAAGGTTAGGGTTCTTTTAAGTCTTATAGCGGTGTAGACTTTATTTTTATAAATAACAATATACAAATATAATTAGCTTATTAAATAGAAAAATATGTAACCAAGAAAATAACTGATCGATAACAACTTTTGGATTAGTATTTCAGAAGTTATTAACAATCTAAAGTAATGACTGAAGGCGAAGAGTGTATTATAACACTTAATATTAAAATTATGAATTTTTCAGATTTTCGATTCAGGTATACAGAGGGATTTTTTTTATCATAATCCACTCAATTACTTACAGAATAAATATAATTTATAATATAAAATAATTTTTAATATATCTTTATTGGTTTATGAGATATAAACATTTAAAGTTATATTAAAAATTCAAATGCCATTTACTATTACATTAAAAACTCAAATATTTCATTAAATTCAAAATATGAGTTTCTGTTTAAAAAAACAAAGTTGACATCCTTACAAGGCATTAGGGATGAACTTAAAAAGTATTACGTAGTTAATAACTCAAGAGAAATGTGTAACTAAAGATAACCAAAAATAAAAATGTTTAAATTATATTTATTCTGTAAGTAATTGAGTGGGTTATGATAAAAAAATCACCCTATATATATTAATTAATATACCTTAAAATATATTTTATTTGTTTATAATTTGTAATTAACTCGGAGACTATCATAAACTAACCTAGCTATCCCTTTTGAAGGTCTGGGTAGCTGCCTTACTGAAACAATGAGTTTTGCATTATTGCAAACAAGAAACCGAAATAATTTCCGGATTTTGAAAATTTTGCTTTTACGTAGTAAATTAGTTCATTTTTATCGAAATTTTTGCAGTACATCATGAAAAAACAATTACAGAAATCAAAAATATTATGAAACCTTAAATTTCATTTTAAAAACTTTGAAAACAAATGAGTAAAGAAGTTTTAACTTAAAAAGAAATATATAAAAATAATTAAAATATATTACTTAGCAACAATTCTATAAAAAAATAATACTTTTCGAACTGGAAACTTTGGATTTTTATTTAAAATTTTTAATGTTAAAATATAACTTTATATTTTATTAGGACATGTGGTAAGGTATTAAATTAGTAATTTTGTATTAGCTAAATTTTATTGAGAATGTTTACATATTATTTTCAGGTTATCTGATGAATTACTCATGTATTTTTTATATATCAATTTTGTAAACAGTTTTACATTTGAAAAATATTTTGATCAAATTAATGACGCAAAATTAGAGAGACAACACAGTGAAAATATTATGAAAGTTATAGGTTTTTGGGGACCTGTGACAAACCTATTGACAAATTTAAATAGTTCTTATATTGCTTACAAGACGCGCAATTCAACAAACTCGTTTTTTAATATCCACATAAAGCCGAAAAAAAAGCTTATCAGGTATGGAACCAGCTATGCGGCTAACGCACTTAAAAGAAACGGTACAATGACCAAAGAAATCAACCAACTGTTCACCAATGAAAAAGATTGTCAGGAGGTAAGTAAACGTTCTTGTGTGTGTTACATGAATGAATTCTTGGATTCAATCGTCACTCGTTTGGAAACCATTAAAAATTCCAAAGACGTTATTTTGTTTAAATGTCAATCATTTAAACCAACTTCGAAGATATTTTTTATTTCGATGTCAGTATTTGATAAATCTACTACCGAAGAATCATATGAATATGATGAATCAGTGATGACAAAAGATACGGCCAGTCAACTTCAATCAATGAATTATAGTTCGCTTAGCTCTTCTGAAACAGAAGTAAAATTTGATGAGGTCATCAGTTATCGCTTTGAAAAGCCCCCCGACAGTAAGTGCATATGAGTTTTAGTTATTGAAAAAACTGAAAAATAATATATAACTCATTTCTAATCTTTCTAAAACTATTGTCCTACTTTCTAGCATTATTAATATTGGATTAGCTTCTTATAATAATTGGTTTTTAGTACGTAAATAATTATTGAAGTCTTACTAAGACTATCTTTCTGAAATAAACATAATCACAAGGAGTCCATAAAATGATATAAAATTTATGATTTTGCAATTAATTAATATTTTAAAAAGAGTTATAATAAAAAATGGTTAACAAACTCAATATCATGGATTATAATAAATTTCTAGATCACTTTTCCATCATATACGGCATTGTAGGCAATTCTGTAAAAATTAAATGTGGAGTTTTTATCGAGGGTATTGAAAATTCTATTGAAAAAACAAATTTCAAATGGGACTATCAAAAAACTGATTTTAAAACAAGTATGTGGCAATTGATTATCTATAAAGAGAATATTTATTAAAAAATTTAAGTATTTCAACTAAACATTTTATAAATTATCTAGATTCTAGTATAATTACTCTTGACACGGGCCAACTTTTAATTTCAAGGTTAGATCCCAATGACAGTAAAAACTATACTTGTATGGCAAAATTAGCAAGAAAGAAACTTCATGATAACATTCACAAACATTTGGTTCTAGGTAATACATTAGATCATAGAAATCAAAATTAAACTTTAAATTAATTTTTGTTTAATAGGATTTTTAAAGTTTATAAGATCATGCATTTTTGTGCGATGACAAATTTAATCATTATTGTGTAAAATTGTCAATTATTATTATATAACTTCTAGGTATAAAATAATTTACGTTTAACAATTGTTCATATGGGTATAATAATATTATAAATAAACTTTATTTGTTATTAATTAGCTTAGAGTTTGTGTAGAAATTTTACATAAATTATATTTTTTAACGATAGATTAAAAATGTCAGAGTCAAATATTTTCAAAGGTCTCCTACATTTGTACCCTGATTTATTAAATCTTTATTATTACGAATGAATAACCCAATAGATAATGCAATGTATGTCGGCATAGAGTATATTAATTTAAATCATGAAATGGCAATGGCAATGACACATATTTGGTTTTAATATTGGAGGTGCTAAAATTAATAAAAAATACTTATTTTAAATATTTTTCGTTTGTTTTAAAAAGGGACATTAGCTATTAGTAATATTTTGTTTAGAAATTTATTATAAATCTAAATGTAGTAAATATTATGCATAATTATTAAGGCTCAAAATAATTATTTTTTAATAACTAAATCAATTTTTCTATTATTCCTATACATTTTTGTAATTTGTATTTCATATTCGGCATATCGATTGGATATGATTAGCAGCAATAACGAACACCATAAATTATTACCGATCAAGCGATCGGTATTAATTTCCGATCAAGATTTGTTATTTTCATGTTAAATTGCAAAATTTGCAAAAAAAAAAAAAAAAAACTGGGAGTACTAATATATTATTTATATGTGCTGCTTAAGACCTCCCATATTTTTAGTAGAAATATTCTACTAAATTTAAGTGCAAATATGGAATAATTATTCATCGTAAAATTAAATTCGAGGTTTAAATTCACTTCATGGATTATTATTGTTTTTATTTGTCATTTCATTGTATTTATTTTTAACATAATAGTTTTTTGGTCAATAAGCTGATGCAAACATTTATCTATACAATTATAGTTACAGATAAAGCAACTTACGAAATACACAGTAAAGCAGCGTACAAAACAACATCAGTTTGTTCTACAGAATTCAATATACCAATACAGCGTGATTTGCCTAAATTAATACAAAAGAATATATGTTCATTGGGGTCATCACAATACGCTTGTAATGTAACAGTAGAGCCACCAAAATGTACAATTGATGAAGTAAATCCGCAATAAAAAATTGTTTTAAATAGCTAAGATGCAATTTTATTTTAAACGTTTAAGGAAATAATATATTAATCAATAAGGGTACCTATTTGGTTTTAATGCAGTATGGTTTGGAAATAAGTATTACTCCGACGGTATTTGAAATCCTTCAATAAATTAAAATTAACCTGTTTGATCGTATTTAATGAATTCAATCAAACAAAAATTTGTTTCTAATTTACTTAAAATAAATACTCTCAGTTCTGAAATGACGAGTTTTTCAATGATATTTTAAGTATACAAGATTAAAATTGTACAATAAATCATAAAAAAGTTTTTATAATGTATAAAAAAGATTAAAGTTATTAAATATACATTATTCTAAATATTAATTTAGCTTAATATTTTGCTATTTTTTAAAATTTCAAATTTTTCTTATACTAGTATACAATTGAAGTCAAATATAAAGTAATGCTCGATCACAACTCTAATTTAATGAAACAAATTCGGTCAAGTCAAAAATGTCAGGCGCCATTGTACTATCAAAAAATATTGTCAATAATATGTAAAGTGTTAGTAGCAAATATGAAAAAAGCCATGACGGTTACATGTGAGTTTTACTTTAAAATAACCTAAAATACAAAAATATAATTCTGTGGATTGGTGAAAGTAAGGCTTATGTCATATTTTTTTTATAAAAACTATAACTCATATCACTTGATTAAAATTATTTGTCAAATACTAATTTTTTCAAGTTAATTTTTCCAAGTGATAATATTGGTAAAAGTTGTAAAAAAAAAAATGTAACAAAGACCCTTTTTTCACCAGATCACAGATTTATAACCTAAGAAAAGTAATTTAACTTATGTATAAGTGGCAACAAACACACCACGAAATAGTGTGAGTTTCAAGCCGTATATTGATAAAATATCAATGAAAAATGTTGTAAGCTGTGCACCTGGATATGGATTAAGAGGAGTACTCTGTACAGCTTGTCCAGAACACCATTATAGTCCATCATACTCAAATATGTGCATCAAGTGTCCCAAAAAATTTCATCAGCTAAAAATGGGGTCAGAAAGATGTGACAAGTGTTATAGTATATTTTCCAAAGGTTGCACTTTGGTAATTTCTCATTATTTTCAAAATATTGACAGTATTTGATAACAATCTAGGTTATTTAGATAAAAATTTTATATATCTCTATTTTAGAATGATGAATCATTTTGTTTTAAATATTTACAGATAGACATGAACCCAAATTATTTTTATACTGTATTTTGGATTGCATTAATATTTTTAATTTGGGCAATGCTTGTTTGGTGTTGTTGTCGTCGTTTCAAAAACCAAAATGAATGTAACTATCAAATAAGTAATAATCAATAAATAAATAATTTTATTTAACAATTATTTTTTTTCAAGATAAAAGCAAAGGAGAAAATAAAGTTAATAAGAAAAAAATTAAAAAAAAGAAAAAGAAAAAGAAAATATATAAGCCTTTAAACAATAGTGATTCCGAACAAAATAATACAGATAATTGGCCTGAAGACGTTGTAAAGGACATAAAAATAACTCCATTTGGTTATATACATAGTAAAGTAGGAAACTTAATTAACCCAATCAGTGATATATCAAGTTGATGGTAAAATTTTTGCGAAAATAATTGTTAGTTCATTTTTTATAAAACAGCTTAATTTTAATAGAATTGGTTGACCCAATAAAATAGTTCAAAGTAGATAGTCCTACTCGCCGAATAAAAAGAAAACAACTACTTCTCAGATATTTGTTTGCTTTTAAACAAATATCTTTAAGGCATGACAGTTTAGCGGCATACACGCCTAGTATACCCTTTAATAAATCTATGGCTATTTATTATTGAATATCAACTACTTTACGAATTTTCGAGTTTTTTCGGGGTTTGACTTTTTTTATTTTAACTAGTATTTAAGTGATCTTTGCAAATATTTCCTTATATAAACATGAGCAACCTTTTAATTTCAATTTTAAAAAATTAAGGGTTTTTAACATGAAAATCAACGTTTTAAAAATAGAAACTATATAAGCGAAAAAATTAAAAAAAAATAAGATTATTTAAAAAAAACTACATTCTTTTGATAAATTAAATTTTTATAATAACAAAAGCTAAATGTAAAAATCTTAAAACTACATATTCATAAATAATCAATATTCTTTTAAGTAACTCATTTTTAATTGAGTTATTAGGTGATTCATAATATTTAATTAAATCTGTATAATAATAATATCATAATCTTATTAAATGTTCATATTTTAAGGCAAATAAATTCATTATCTATATATATACAAAATGTTGATATTGTTAACTAATATATGTATACCTTGATTATTTCTTTGATTAGTTTTTCGATTTTTTATCTGTCATTTTTAAATACTTCAAATTTGTTTGGGTAAAAATGAACATTTTTCTTAGTTAATTTATATTAATTTATACTTTTAATAGTTGGTATAATTAAATATGAGACTTGTTAATGTGCAATTTTCTTTGTACTATTATTACATAGACAACAAGCTATTAGTTTGTCACTGGATTATTAAAAATGATCCAAAATGTTACATTTATTTTATTAAACATTAATAATAACACATTTATTTTACTTTGTCAGACATAAATATTTGAATAATAGTAAGTCAATCATTTTATTATATGAGTCGACTCAATATTTTTCAATTGTGCCACTAGTTAAAGTGCTAAAATTGATACGGATAATCATATTATCACAAGCAGATTCAAACTAAAATTTTCAAAATGGTGGTTAAAATATTTTATATGACTTGCTCTATTCAATAAAAGTCATTTAGATATTCATGTCATAATATAACACATATTATTATAATATATAAATATAATTTTATATTGTATATTGTATATCTATAATTTAATGTCAAAAAATTCTTTTACGTTTTTAATAATTTCTTGGAGCAAAATAATTTTATTTTTGAAAATATATTAACATTTCATCAAATTATGTATTTTTAGTAAATAATATCAATCATTAAATATACAAAAAAATATTTAAATAGTCTTCAAATGAGGAATTTTTAAGGGAAAAACACTTTTACCTTTTTTAATTAAATAGGAGAAATTAAAAGTTTTTAAGAGATCTCAAGGGATGAAAATAGCTTAAAATTAAATGTGTATATTATTATTAATATAAAGTTCAAGAGTAAAATTAAATTATTTTAATACCTAATTAGTCTCCAAAAAATTATTTTACTTTTATCAAAATAAATATTAATAAATAGTACACAAATTTGTTATACAATAAATAATAACTATTTTTTTTACATAACAATTTCCTAATTAGCTTTATTAAAAAGTAAGACATAAAGCAGGATGATTTCGTACATGGTAGTTGACTTCGGTTATTTTAATAATATATATTTTATCAAGAATTATATTATGATAGCGTTTCAATCTGATTAAACAAAATAATTTTTTGAACATATATTTTGTGTTTTTTAACAATACTTAACATTATATTAGTGCTGCAGATTGATAGGACTAAAATTATGTTACTATTTAGCTGTCCTAAAGTGGCATTTGAAGATACTAAAAAATTAGTGATAATTAATATTAAACACGTATTATAACTTCCAATACTTGAATTTCAGATGTCAAAAATTATTTGGAATATTTAATCATCATATTTTACAAGAATGATAATAACGTTTTATTTTCTTTCCATAAGAAAAGTTACATATTGAATCTAATTTTAGCAAGTGGAATTAAAAAATATGTTTACATTATAATTGTTTTTTTATAAATAAAACATATACTGAAGCCATAATTGTTAACAAATAAAGGAAAGGTAAAGTACAATATTCAAAGTAAAGACAAATTATTCAGTTAATGTTAGTATTTACAAAAAATAGTTATTTCTAATAAATTGTATTAGTATTGTTTAAATATAATGATTGCTTGATTTAATTATAGTCGTTCTTCATGGAAATAATATTTACCATGAGAAAATGCAAAAATATAAAAAGCGTTCATTCTCGAAGTTTGAAATATTTTTTGGATTCATACGAGACCACAAAATTGTTAAACAAAAGAGTGTAAATTTTAAGTGTTAACAACAAATTTATTTTAAATAAAAAATAAAAACAATTTTCATTTTTTCTAGAGATTCTGTTAAAGAATATTTATTAATTAATTGCTACTATAATTTTGTACTTATTTATTGTAAATAAAGAACAAAATGAAATTTGTTTATTATTTGCATTAATAATTTCATTTTGAAATTAATCGTGAAATTATAATTTAAGTTATCTTATGATATTAATAATCTTGAATTCACCTCACAAATCTACAAAATACTAAGCATAAAATAAGGAAAAACAATATAACTATCTCTAGAGCCTATACATATAAGTTATCATTTTAATGCGGGAGTACTATTATTATGTTTTAATTTTTAGAAAATTGATTAATTTAAACTTGAAAAGTATTTAATGTTCACCGTTTTACGTAACATTTAAATCTATGAAATCTTTGCTGACATTTTAGCTTTGATGTGAAACTGAGAAGGTATTAATTTTGCTATGAAGTGTTTGTTTCTTTGTGTGTGTGTCTGTATCTCATTAGAGCGATTTTGATGAAAATTACGTCAAAAGATCACAAATCGTATCTAGTCGAAGTCATTACCCTCAAAAATTAAAAAAAAAATATTACAAGTTTTAAAAAAAAATTTTACTCAATCGATTAAAAAGTTACTTAGCTTATATTCTCTATGTAGACAATTAAAATGATTTATTTCTAATGTTTTTATAGTATTTACTGTCGAATTAAGTTTGATATGATAATAGGTTTCAATTACAAAATTAGATAACTTTACATTGTAATCTATTAATTTTTCAACTCTATTTGTATGTGCACTACTTAAAGTCTATAATATTCTATTTTATTGGTAACATGTTGCTATTTAAATTATTTATAAACATTTTTTTTAGTTTTATCTAAATTTAACAATTGATTTTTACAATTATAATGAAATTTTATACTATGCTCAATTGAGTAAATTTTTTTAACAATATTTTGATTGATTTTTTTAGTTAAATTAAATCATTTAAATTAATTAAGCTCTGAATATTTCAATTGTAGAATCTTTTTGAATACCAAAAGTTACTTAAAATGATTACTATTTAATGATTTCTATTTAAGTGATCTATTACGATAAATATTAAAAAAATATAGAGTTTTTATGATAAATTTACTATAAATAGTGATTATAAAATTTCCTGACTACTTATTAATCTTAACAATAAGATTTTTTTAATTCTCATAAAATTTTCTATTTAATAATGTTTATTTTAAATTTGCAAGTTGAACTAAAAGTTATGGTAACAAATCAAACCTTTTTTAATTATAAACTTTCACAAAAATCAACTTTAAAGGACCAAAAAATTAGGTTAAAAATGACATTGTGCACTAAATATTTTTAACATATCAAAAATCAAAACCAATAATAATTTGAAAACATTTTTTTTTTAATTTTTAAATATTTTTTTATAACTAAAACGTTTTTTATTGTTGTAGTTCATAAGAGTACAATTTATTGTAATAAATAAATCAAATTATTGTTTATATAAATACTAAGATGAAATTTAATTTTAGTTTCTTATAATTAAATTATATTGAATTAAAATTTAAAATAAAATTTAGCTTAATTATTTGTCTTAATTGAATATTTATTATTTTCTTGCGTTTTTATTAAGTACATGTTTTCTATTAACAATTTATTAGATGGTGACTACAGTATCAATAATGATCATTATTCTAGATTTTGTAAAATTCTAAACTTGATCATTTTGTATATTTGTAATTGTGTTAATTTTTTTTGGTGTAAAGTAAACTAAAAAATTATCTAAGAAAACATTAAGATAACAATTTATAAAATACCTTCTTAAACGTTCTTTATGGCAAGAATGTGCTATGACATATTTGAAATTACAGTATTTTTTTTTAAACAACAAATGAAACTATTATTTTTATATTTGAGCATAAATTTGCAGTTTTCTGTGATTGTGAGTGATACTATATTAAAGGACGCAAAAGGGGTACAAATAAAAATAAGGGCAACAATTACATTAACAGTAACTGTATTCTAGTACATTTTTCATTTATTAAAACTGATGAGAAAAATCTAAATTAATTAATTAAAAGAGTAAACTTATTTAAAACTTAGTTATTTAAACTTAACTATAAATTAAAAGTATTGTTATCTTTATTAATTAAAGTATATAGAGTAGAATTTAGATAATCCAAACAAAAGTGATACTCTAATATTAATATATATTTATATAATATAATATATAATTTATTTATCTTATTACAAATTACATTTTTAAATGTTTTAGACAATTTTTAAATGATACCCTCAAAAAATTGGTCTTATTTAAAGTGCTAATTTTCTACGATATTTTAAAAAAATGTTAATTTCGTTTGCTATCGAAGAACATAATTATATTTTTACGACATTTAAAATTTTTTTGAGGAAATGTTAAAAAATATAGTAATATTTGAAAGTTGGAATAGTACTAAACATATTCTTAATCAAAACCCAGACGTGCCACTTGATTTATTAATTTAACAACCCTCAAGTATTAGTCTATAGTAGTATCGATTTTCATTCAACTGCGGAAAATTAAACATTGCTATACACAATGCCATTTTCCATAGACGCATATTTGCAATTCACATTCCCTTGTTATAAACTTTGACATTTTCATTAGATCGAGAATACCTGAGAGCTATGGAGTTAGTTGCGCAGATTCTAGTTATATCAATACACATATTTTTGTTGGTAGATATTTTAAGCCGTTTATTCAGTTAGTGATATACTATAGTATATCAGTATTTACTATGAAACCCTTCTAAAAATATAATACGGCATTCTAAATATGTCCACAAATAATTACTTATAAATATAAAAATCGTTTTTAATATTTAAAGCTGAGAAGAAAATGTTATTTATTTATTTTTTTTAATTGCTTCATATAGAGATGTTAGTATTATTAGTTGGCCATAGTATTAAAGAATATTTAAACTTATAAATAATATGCAAGGCAACAGCAAACATTTTAGTAAAATTGTAAAACAGTATCACTTTGGTTTCGTCGAAAAGTTTTATTTGTTTAAGTATTGTTCTATAAAATATATCAAAACGTAATTATGAGTACACAGCTAAATGTTAACGTTAACGCTGGGCAGCAGGTGCCTGAAATTTTTTTCATTTTACCCGAGACAAAATATTTTCTACATAAATAATCTTTCATTGTTTAATTTAAGGATAATAGACAAAAAGATAAACTTGCCGACAATAATAAAGTATTAACAGACATTTCACAAATTGACTCAGATCGCTATAATTCATTCGTTAATTCTCCAAGAGTGATCTCCGGGTCTTTTAATTCAGGATTGTATGCAATGTCAGTGGAAACAGATAATGTAGATACTGAGCTACTTCCGGTCAAACTTACTGAGGTCACTTTAGACTCGGTAAGCACTTCTATTTTCTAGTTAGACAACGAATTTTATATGTAAACTATATATGAATTTAGAATAGTGTTTCTATTTATTACACTTTTTAATCAGTGTTGTATTATAGTACTGCAAATAATTGTCGTTAGAGAGAAAAAAACAGCGAAATCCCGCTAATCTATTACTAAGCTCGAATAAAAAAACTGTATATTTTTGTTTTTGTTAGAAATTAGAGACAGTTGTTTTCATGAAAGATTGCAATGTAAAAACGCTTAATGAAGTAATTGGCAATGTGAATGTTTCTAAACAAGATGACGATAACAGAGTAAGTGTAGCATTTTCGCAAGTTCCTGTTGCTGAAGAGTCTACAATGCCCAATGTTTCAAATACGAATAAGTCTATATCAAGAGTCGATGTTGATTCATCTCCAGTTTTGAGTCGTAGGGTAACAAATGTTGTTTGTACTATTGCGGCATTAATTACTGGCATTCTTTTCGGCGTATACTTGGCTAAATATTTTATTTTTGAGAAATATTAACTAGAAAGTTAAAACAACTAAGCAAAAAAATGTCATTTAATATAAAATTTCTAATTTTATGAAGTTATAGATGTTTAGTACTGTTTTTTTATACTACTAAAAATATTATTTTTTTTTAATAACGATTTTATGAATTGTTAAACGTTATGCTACTCTTAGTATAAATTAAAATAATATAAGATTACGTGGTATTGTAATCTTTTAAATATATTGTATGAATATACAAGGAAATATATCTTTTGATTTTTCTATAAATATTACAACCAATATTAGTTTCTTCCACTCTTTTCTGTTAAATATATGATTAGGTCTTCATTTAACTCTGATATCAGATTTATGGTTTCTTCTTTTACTCGTTAAAAAAAATATATATTTATTTAAATATACATAAAGATCTTTAAAGATAGATTGAAGTTGAATTTAAGTTTCAATAATACATATTAATTAATTATTATGAAAACATGATTTGTTGAGTTTTTTTTTTGGTATTAGGGCATTAATAACATAAAAGCCCTTTTATGATAAAAATAAATATATTTTTTTTAATAAATAAACACGATAACAAATTTTATAGAATAATTCGTATATAATAAAAATACTTATTTAAATCTCAACATTTTTAAATGATTAAAAAAAAATTACATTTTAATAAGTCATAAAGTTGTCTGAACTAAAAATATACATATATAAATATCAGATTTCTCGCAGAGTATAGTCTAAGTAATATAAATTATAATGTTAAATATTATTCTATTGCGTGCCTGAAGCAATTTTCCTAGTTTAATATTAGGTTAATAATAATTTTGATTGTATTATGTAAGTTTCTTATGGTCACGCGACTAGTTTTTACTTTCGGAGTTTCACTGAGTTGCAAATAAATAAAGCTTACTCGCATTATTTAATATTAGACTAATAGTTACGGAAAAATAACTGGAAGAGCGTTCTAAATGCGATTAGCTAATTAAACGTGAAAGCTCTGGATAATTTCATAAAGTCTTGAAAAACAATAAGAGACAACTACTCCGTTTTTTTGTTATAATGGAAAAATACA